GATTCATTTTTCTGCCAAAGAGTAGCAGCTGGACTCACACCACCAGCCTGCGGCTCAGAATCCATTGCTTATCCTACGGTCAATGTTGGTTTTGTGGCAGAATGTTCACCTTCCATTCAGGAGAGCAGGTTCAATTCCTGGCAAACGCACCTCAAAGCACAATCATAACTAGTCTATCAGTGGGGGCTTACATGGTACTATAATGCTGAACAGATTTCAGTGGAGATTCCAGATTAAGATGAACTAGAAAGCAGGGCTTGTCCATCTGAAAAGTCCTCCAGTAAATACCCCATGGATGACAACAGTCTGATCCCACAATGTATTGGGTCCTCCTGAGTTGGAGGTCACTTCAGTGGCTACTAATAACAACAACATCCTGAATATATAAAGAATGCTTACAAATCAAAAAGAAAAGACAAAGGCCTCCATTTTTAATGGGCAAAAGACTTAAACAGACATTTTTCAAAGAAGGTATACAAATGACTAACAACCACATGGAAAGATGCTCAACATCATTACTCATTAAGGAAATATCACTTCATATCCACTAGAATGGTTACCCACTGCATGTCTGTCAACTTGTCCTACTGTGGTGGCTTGCATGTTGCTGGCGCTGATAGAAGCTATGCCGCTGGTGTTTAAAGTACTAGAAGGATCACCATGATGGTCAGGCTTCAGTGGAGATTCCAGACTCAGAGGAAGGAAGTGGAGGACTGCTTCTGAAAACGTAGTCACTGGAAACCTTATGAATAGCAGTGGAACATTGCCAGAAGGTGAACCCATCAGGTTGACAGGCACTCAAAATGTGACTGAGGAAGAGCTGCCTCCTCAAAGCACTCAATCTTAATGACACGAATGGAGCAAAACTTCTTTTGTTGATGTGGAATGACTCAAAATGAGCCAAAAAACAGCTGCAAACATTGGTTAATAATCAGAACATGGAATATGCAAAGTATGACTCTAGGAATATTTGAAGTCATCAAAGTGAAATAAAACACTGAAGGATCGATCAATACCATAGGCATTGTTGTTAAGTGCCATCAAAACAGTTTCAACTCAGAGTGACACAGTATAGGGTTTCCAAGGAGCAACTGCTGAGTTTGAACCACTGCAAGGTTCAAACCGACCTTGCAGTCCTGCACGTATCCTATAGCTCCACACCAGAACTCTTAGACATTGGTGTTGTTCTTGTTATTGTTGTACTGTCAAGTGAATTCCAACTCATAGCAGCCCTGTATAGGGTTTCCAAAGAGCATCTGGCGGATTTGAACTGCTGACCCTAAGATTCACAGTCCATTGCTTATCCTACAGCACCACACCACAGTGAGCCAAAAAAAGATGGCCCGGTAATGGCCATCTTGAATCAAACAATCGTATGGTCTACTATGTCAGAAATGACAAACTGAGGAGGAACATGGTCACATACATCATTAAAAAGAACATTTCAAGACCTATCCTGAAATACAATGCTATCAAAATAAGATAATATCTATACACCTACAAGGAAGATCAATTAATAGAGTTATTCAAAGTTGTACACCAACCACTAAAGCCAAACATGAAGAAATTGAAGAATCTAACTTCTGCTATCTGAAACTGATCAAATGTACAGTCGAGAGGCATTAATAACTACTCATGATTGAAATGGAGTCCTGGTGTGGCGCCAGACTGCAAAGCCATTTGAACTGCAAGGTTGGCGGTTCAAGCTCACCAGCTGCTCCTCAGAAACCCTCTACAGGGACTCTAAGGGTCAGAATCGACTTGATGGCACTTCACAACAACAAGTGATTGAAATGCAAAAGTTGGGAAAAAAGAGGAAGGATTAGTAGTTGGAAAATATGACCTTGGTAATAGAAATAATGCCAGAGATAATATGAAAGGATTTTGCAAGACCAAAGTCTTATTCATTGCAAATACTTCTTTTTCAACAAAATAAATAGTGACTATAGCTTAGTGGTTACAGGCTGCGAACCTCAAGGTCAGCAGTTCGGAACTACCAGCTGTTCCGCAGGAGAAAGATGAGGCTTTCTGCTCCCATAAAGATTTACAGCCTTGGAAACCCTGTACAGGGTCTCTATGAGTCAGAACCAACTCCACCACATAACAACAACAACAAACCCATGAACCTCACCAGATGGAGTATAGAAGAATCAAATTGACTATATCTATAGCAAAGATGATAGAGAAGTTCAATACCACCCGTCAAAACAAGGACAGACAGAGGCCAGCTTTGGAAGACACAATCAATTGCTCATATGCAAATTCAAGTTGAAACCAAAGACAAATTTTAAAATCCACAAAAGGCAATATATGACCTTGAATTTGTTGTTGTGCTTGTCAAGTGCTGTTGAGTTGGTTCTGACTTCCAGTGAGTCTGTGTAGGGTTTTCAAGGAGTGACTCTTGGATTTTAGCAGTCCAGTGCTTACCCTACAGCACCACACCAAGACTCAGACCTTGAGTATACCCCACTGAAATTTACATACCATCTGAAGAAGCTATTTGGTGCACTAGACACTAATAATTAAAAACCAGAAATGTGGAATAACATAAAGAACATCATACATGAAAAAAGCAAAAACTCATTAAAAAGACAGGGAAAAAAAGAACATTTCCAGATGGGTGTCCAAAGAGACTCTTGAACATAGAGAGGTTAAAGCAATTGGAAGAAATGATGAAGTGAAAAAAGCTGAGCAGAAAATGTCAAAGGGCAACTTAAGAAGATAAAGTATTACAATGAAATCTGCAAATAACTGGAATTAGAGACTTAAAAAAAAGAACATGCTTGTACATCTCAAGGAAAAAGAACTGAAGGAAAAATCTGAGCCTTGAGTTGCAATATTGAAAGATGTTGTTGTTATTGTTATGTGCTGTAGAGTTGGTTCCGACTCATAGCGATCCTGTATAGGGTTTCCAAGGCTGTAAATCTTTACGGAAGCAGAAAGCCTCCTCTTTGTCAAATGAAACAGCTGGTAGTTTCGAACTGCTGACCTTGAGGTTCGCAGGCAGATTTGTAACCACTAATAGGTAGCGTAGTGGTTACGAATCGGGCTGCGAACCTTAAGGTCAGCGGTTCGAAACTACCAGCTGCACCGCGGGAGAAAGATGAGGCTTTCTACTCCCGTAAAGATTTACACCCTCGGAAACCCTATACAGGGTAGCTATGGGTCAGAACCGACTTGATGGCACATAACAACAACAACATGCTACCAAAGCTCCATTGAAAGATAGTATGAGCAAAATATTGAACCATGTTGTTGTTACTGTTGTTAGGTGCCATCAAGTCAGTACTGACCCATAGCAACCTTATGCACAGCAGAACGAAACACTGCCTGATCCTGGGCCAACCTCACTACTGTTGCCACGCTTGAGTCCATCGATGCTGCCACTAGCCAATCCATCTCATTGGGGGGGTCTTCCTCTTTTTCTCTGACCCTCCACCTTACCAAACATGATATCCTTCTCCAGCGAATGGTCCCTCCTGACAATATGTCCAAAATATGAGAGATGAAGTTTGGCCTCCAAGGACCACTCTGGCTGCACTTCTTACAACAAAGATCTATTTATTCTTTTGGCAGTCCATGGCATTTTCAATATTCTCCTCCAACACCATAACTCAAAGGCATCAATTCTTCTACATTCTTCCTTATTCACTGTCCAACTTTTGCATGCGTATGAGGTTACTGAAAATACCATAGCTTGAGTCAGGCACACCTTAGTCCTCAAGCTGACATCTTTACTCTTCAAAACTTAAAAAAGGTCTTATGCAGCAGATTTGCCTAATGCAATATGTTATTTGATTTCTTGACATCTGATTCCATGAGTTTGATAATTGATCCAAAAGTGATATAGATCCTGGGAAACAACTTGTTGGTTCAAAAGTTATACATAAAATTGCCATATGATCCAGCAATTACACTTCTAAATATATATCCAAGAAAAATAAAAATATATGTCCACAAAGAACCCTGTGCCCAATGTTCACAGCAGCATAACTCATAATGGCCAAATGGTGGGAACAACCCAAGTACACACATAGCTAAACAAAATGTAGTATATTCATATAATAAAACATTATTCAGCCAAAAAACAGTTTTAAAATACTGGTACATACCTCAACTTGCATGAACATTATGCCAAGTGAAAGAAGCTTGACACAAAAGTTTACATGTCAGTTATCTCTGGTGTATGAAATATTCATAATAGGCAAATCCATAGAGATAGAAGCAGATTGGTGGTTGTCAGTGGGCTGGGCGGGGCATGGGAAGTGACTGCAATGAGTATGAGACAGTTTTTGAAGGGAGGTGGTAAAATTTCTGGACTAAGAGCGGTGCTGGCTGTGAAACACCACAGTGTACTACATGCCACTGAACGGAACAACTGAGATGTTTAAATAGGTGAAGTTTATATTTGTGAGTTTTACCATAACAAAACAAATCAGCATTCAAATCCCTCTGAGTGAGGGAATAAGTACCTTATTGGTTTCTGAGTTCTCAAAGAGCCCCCAACCTGGGAGCTCTGAGAGCTTGGCCTTCCCTCTCTAGACAAGTCCCGGGAATCTTTTGTAACACCCTGCAGAAAACCAGGGAGTCCTGGCTTGGAACTGATTCGATACTAAAGGCCAGACTTGCACCACGTCCACCAACAGCCAGCTGGGAAACCACTGACCTAATGCCCTCAGCCCTGGGACTGTGGGGGAGGAAATGGGGACTGTCACAGAGGTGACAAGGCACAAGTGAGGCCAAAAACAAACGGGGAGAAAGAAACAGATGGAGGGAGATAGACTGTTCCCAAGAATCAAGCATGGCTGAGGCAGAGTCCACACCTGGGCCAAGGATGACAGTGATGGAAAGGGACATGGGCCCTGAGCTCTCCACTCCCACCTTCACCCCAACTGTCTGCCATCACAGAACAGAATCTGTCGCAGAGTCTCCCATACCTAGTGAGCCCACTCCACCCTGCTCACATCCTGCCTTGGAGACACAAGGTTTCGATTACTTACTTTCTCCTGAGCACCTGAGCCCTGCATCATGGCTGTGGTTACAAAGCTCCCAGTGTCCAGGGCCCCGAGGGCAGTCAAACAGCAGGGACTCATTGCCCATGCAGTGGAAGGCCTCAGTCCACACGGGCCCAGAGCCCCTGCCAAAGTGTGCACCCCTAGGTGTGGAAACAGCTGAGCCACAATGCCGCTCTCTGCAGATCACGTTGGCCGTGGGCAAGTCCAGGTCAGCCTCGCAGATGGTGCCCCAGGTCAGCCCCCGCCGTACCTCCAGAAGCCCAGCGCAGGTGTGGTCTCCGCCCACTAGCCGGGCCTCCATGTGCCCTGGGAACAGATGATGTTCTGTGCAGCCCCCAAAGGACAAAGGACTCCCAGAACCCCTTGAACTAAGGCAAGTTCTGTGAGGCCTCTCTGTAGGCTGACCAGATCCTGTCCTATTCTTGAGTCCCTCAGGGACAAGAGCATGTAAGGGGACTCAGACACCTGGCCTGGTTCAGCCCTGAGAGAAGGCAGCTCTGTCTTGAGGCATGCATCTTGGAAACACGTAATCCTTCAGATTCCACCAGGATTGGATGAGAACAGCCCCTACCACCGCCCTGCACACACCAGGATCCCACATCTGTATTTAACATGCCCCCCAATATGGACCTGGTCTCTAGCTTGTCATTTTAATAACCTGGTCAGATTTTAAACCTAATGCCCAGCCACACCCCAAGCCAAAAAAAATCAGACCCTGTAGAAGGGACCTGGCATCAGTAGCATTGAATCTCCCCAATGATTGCAATGTTGGGAAGCAAGACCCTCAGGGACTGTGACTCCCTCTCTCCCTAGACAGAGTGGCACCAGGGACAAGATAGCCTCTTACTGGCAGAACAGGTGAGCAGGCACTTCAGCCAGGATAAACAGCAGTTACCTCCCCCACCCCCTCACCCCACCCCTACCCCGGCTTATAAGAATCTCAGTCTCCACACCCAACCCTGGTGGGCTGGTACCATTGTTGACCCCCATCTCAGAGATGAGGGCAACTTACCTGAACATACCACTACAGTATTTGACGAATGATCACATTGGTCTAGGAGGTTCAGGTTGAACCTGCAGTTGAAGATGTGGGTCTCTGTCCCCTGGCAGGTCACAACCTTCAGCTGCTCAGCCCCCAGGCTCCCTTGGAGGTGGGCTGTGGACCCCTGGAGTGCCGATCCACACCCCAGCTGTCTGCAAAAGATGCTGGCCTCCTCCTTGGGCAAGCCACACTTCAGAATGATGTCAGCCTGCATCTTTATCTCAAAGGTTCCAGTGCAGGGGCTACTCCCTCCACTCAGTTGCAACGATGCCAAGTTCCCATCTGCACAAACCAGGTGGGAGCCACAACTCCAGTCCTCACCTGAGCAGTGCCCGGGGTGAGAGGCTCCCTCAGGGCCTTTGTGAAGGGTGAGACCAGGAGGGGTGCCCACACCAGCAGCCCATCATGAGACTGGACTCTTGGGAAGTGAGGGGCAGCAGCCTGCTTTCTCCTTGGGTCACCCCTACAGTTGTGGCCCCTGACTGAAGACTGACTGAGCTCCTGCCCTCTGCTGGAAGGGGTGCAGACCTCAGAGACCCCACCAGAGTGAGAAGGAGGGTAGAGGGACCCTCCAGGCCTGTGAGGGGAGGTGCCACCTCTGTTCCCAGAACACCCAAGCTGGGTCAGCACAGTGTCTTTTACACAGCGTCCTGTCCCGTGGCTTCCCACAGCCTCTCCCTGTACAGACACCCCTCCCCATCATCCCTCACATGCTCCTCTGAAGCCTCAGTGGCCAATCAGACGAGCTGACTAGGGTCAGAAGAGGCCCCAGCAGAACAACTCAAAAGCTAGTTCTGGTGGATCTATGGGAGGTATCCTTCCTGGAGGTCACAGACTGCATAGTGCACTTAGGAGGTTGGATAGTGGTTTCTTCCCAGGGGCCCTTTGTGGGGTGAAGGTGGTCTTACCTGAGCAGTGCACAGCACTAATGCACTGACACCCACAGTCCCACGTTGTCCCCCACGGCCCCAAGGAGCACTCCCAAAGCGAGGACTCTGCACCCTGGCAGTGCACACCCTGGAGCACGACCTGTGGGCTCTCTTCAGGCTGAATCACATATGTGGGGACTGCAAGGGCTTTACCACAGTCCAGCTGTCTGCAGACCAGGGCCGCCAGCTCCAGGTCCCAGCTGTCCCCACACAGGAGGCCCTGCTGCCCATGGTATCCAACCTGCACGAGACCCTCACAGTGGTGTCCTCCCCGGAGCAGCTGCAGGAACTCCCCCTTTAGGTCTTCAGAGGCGAGAGTGCAGGAAAGGCCAACCATGGCGAAGAGGCATCTGGGAACTTCTGACAAGAATTTTTAAAAATTAGCAACGTATACATTTCACCTCACTTCTTTTGAATGATGTCCATAGAATTCATGATGTAGAACGGAAACAAGGGGGGTCTGGGGATCATTTCCTGTGGAATTTCCATAGAGCTGAGGGCTCATCTTTCACATGTAACGTAAATTGTTCACAGAAAGGAACTGCCTCATCACTTGGAATGCTAACAGACTTCAGGCCTTGGGGCATCCTCGGCCACCTGGGACCCCAGCTGGGAATCAGAAGGACCAAGGGCTTGACCTGAGGGACCTGATGTCTGTGGCCCCCACCCCTTGTTAAAGGTGCACAGAGCGCGACACTGCCATTGGTGCATCAATCCTTAGGGTCCTGCGATGGCAGCTGCCACTCACCTTCAGGAAAGATCCGGCTGACCAGAAGAAGGGTCCACAAACTCTCCAGGCTTGGGCTCATCGTGTGTCACGTCTGCTGCAGTCACCCTTCCAGCAACTCACCACAGATGTGTGGTCTGCTTGCTTGGTTGGGGAGGAGTGGCACGTCGCAGGAGGAACCAAAGAGTGCTCACTCACAGTCCTGATGAGAAACTTATCTTCACAAAGAACACCAGCTTTCAGGGGTATGTCATGGGGCCAGGCAGACTTCCTGCAGAGCTGAGATCCACGCAGACCAGGTGTGAGGCAGACAGAGGGGTGTTCACTCAGCTCGCCTGGGGCAGAGCCCAGAGTCTTGCAGCCTATAGGGAGAGGATGCCATTTCTGAGCAATACCCTTAGAAGTGTGTCTGACATGGCCCCAGCCATGTGTCTTCTAGCAAAGAGTCCTACGAACACCACTCTGCATGAGGTTATTCTCCTTAGGAAAGTCCATACCAACGCACAGAGACCCTGTATAGGGTTTCCTAGGAGCAGCTGTTGGATTTCAACAGCTGACCTTGCAGTTAGCAGTCCAGTGCTTATCCTACAGTGCCACTCCAAAATATTCAAGAGAGAGGGTTCAATAAGCAAAAGGACACACATGAAGGAATACTAGTCAGCCATTGAAAATGGTGGCGGTTGTGGTGTGCCATAGAGTCACTGCCAACTCGTAGTGACCCGGTTTGGGGTTTCCGAGGCTGTAAATCTCTATGGGACCAGAAAGCTTCATCTTCCTCCCGAGGAAATGCTGGTATTATATAAAGACAAGTCTGTGTGTTCGCTACATATTTAAGCAGAAAAGATATAGAAAATACAGAATGTGTACTGTGATGTATGATTGTAAATCATACTCACATCTGTGCAAAGAAAATTCCTCAAAAACTTCCAGTGTTTGTTTCTGAATGGTAGAATGGTGTTGTTTTATTTTTATACAGTTTTGTTTTATGTTTTATTTTTTTGCAAAAGTAAATGTTACAATAAAGTTTACTTTTCAAAGATCTTCCAGAGAACTAGTTAGAAAGAGAACAGCTTGGGTTTCTCAGACCATCATGGAGAAGAGTCCTGTCTGGAGGGAGTCTAGAATTTTCCACTGAAAAGGCAGGACACCAATCGCAACAGGATCCACAGTGTCACACACACACACACAGTCTTAGGGGCAAATGAGACTCTGAGCTCCCTCAGGTGGTTTCCAAGAGTGAAGTTTACTTACAAGATACCTAATTAAGTAGCTCCAAAGAATGTAAGCAGGTTACAATATGTTTGTAAAGAGCTTCCCACACAACCGTGACAGGAGGTGCTAGCACAATCTTGGATACCCCATTGGAGGAGAAGGGAAATGGGCAGGTGCAGGGGAGAAGAAACCCTCCATCTCTGGAGAAAAGATCACAGGGAGGCTCCATAGAGGAGCAGGAGGGAATGGAATGAGTCAGCCCAGCCTCATCAGTACATCTCTGAAGTCTTCATCTATGTAAACAAGTGCCTACATTGCTCAGCTCACAAGTGTCGCCGTGGATGTAGCCTCTTGTGTTTGCCTCTGTGCTGACCAATTGTCCACAGCCCAGTTATCCATGCTTATCTCAGCCATTGTATCAAAGTTGAATACAAAGTTACACAACAGCCTATCACTAGTAAAATGGTGACACTGGAGTGGTCAGGGGACTAAGAAGTGGTAGAATCTCAGGATCACAGACTGCTCTGACCATGGCCTTTGTCTTTTATAGGTTTCATCCTCTCTGACTGCTACAGCAACACCTCTGTTTTCTCAGATGCACCCATGGGCCTTCCAGGACCCAGTCCCAACACCAGGTCCCTATTACCATTGCAGGTCTTTCCCCCTCCAGGCCCTTGAGCTTTACTTGACCTGCCTGTCTGCCCATTCATGCACTCACAGACCTTGACCTTCTCCAGACTTTTCCTGTAAGGAACAGGATAATAACTACATCAGTCTTCTCTTCAGAATACAAGTAAGCAAAAAGAGAGGCATGAAATATTTAAAGTGCTCAACAACAGCAACTGGAAATCTCTTACAAATAGAATAAATAATAATCCAAATAATCACTGTAAGTGTTAATGGTCTATATTTACCAATTAAAGACAGATATCATCTTGGTGTGGTTCTATAGGGTAAGCAGCGGATTGCTAACAAGGTCCATGATTCAAACCCGCCAGCTGCTCCTCAGAAACTCTATACAGGGTTGTTATGAATCGGAACCAACACAATGGTGCTTACCAACAACAACCATTAGAGTGGTTTGTAAGAAAAAAAAGACTCAACTATATGTTGTCTACAAGAAATCTACTGTAAACATAGAGGTATATTGTTGTTGTTAGGGGCCATCAAGTCTGTTCCAATTCAGAGTCACCCTATGCACAACAGAACAATATACAGTTCCCAGTCCTGAGCCAGCCTCACAATTATTGCTATGCTTAAGTCCATTGTTGCAGTCACCGAGCCAATCCATTTTGTTTTTCACTGACCCTCCATTTTACCAAGTATGATGTCCTTCTCCATGAACTGGTCCCTCCAGACAACATGTCCAAAGTAGAAGAGATGAAGTCTCAGCATCCTAGATCCTAAGGAGTATTCTGGCTGTTCTTCTTCTAAGACAGATGGGTTTGTTCTTCTGACAGTCCATGGCACTTCCAAGATTCTTCTCCAAAACCATAATTCAAATGCATTGATTCTTCTACAGTCTTCCTTATTCATTGTCCAACTTTCACATGCATATAAAGCTATTGAAAGCACCACAGTGGAAACTATAACACATCTACAAAAAAAAAATAAAAGCAAATAACCCAATTTAAAAAGTCACAGGATATGATCAGACACTTCACTAAGGAACACATTCAAGCAGCCTATAAACCATGAAGAAATGTTCGCAATCACTAGCTTTTAGAGTGAAGCAAATCACAATAGCAATGAGATATCATCTCACACCAACAGTAACAGCGAAGTTCAAAAAAGCAGAGGACAACAAATGCTGGTGAGGACGTGGAGAGACTGGCACCGTCTTACATTGTCGGTGGGGCTGTAAATGGTTCAACCACTCTGGAAAATGGTATGGCACTTCCTCAGAAATTTGGAAACAGAAATACATTATGTTCCAGCAATTCCTCTACTTTATACATATCCACAAGAAATACGAGTCAGAATGTGAGTAGATATATGTACACCAATGTCCACTGCAGTACTATTCACAATAGCAAAAAGATGGAGACCACCTAAGTGCCCATCAACGGAAGAATGGATCAACAAACTCTGGTACATCCACACAATGGAAAACTATGCTACCTTGAAGAATAATGATTAAGCTACAAAACACCTCATAACATGGATGAACCTTGAAGACACAATGCTGAGTGAAATTAGTCAGCCACAAAAAGACAGATACTGCATATGACCATTATTGCTAAAGTTTAAGAAAAGATTTCCATACTAAAAAAAAATTATTATTTGATGATTACCAGGGATGGGAGGGAGGGGACAGTGACTCACAGGTTAGGGGATAGATGTATGGAAACTCAGGTGATGGGAATGGCAATAAATTGGAGAGGAGGGCAATGTGCAAGAAGGGGGAAGAAGATGGGGGAACTAGGGATGATAGGGAAAGACTTAGGGAGGTATGCATGGGCTAAATGGGATAGAGGTAAACTGTGATGTATGCACAGCCTTGGAACAACAGGGCTCTATGATATAGAAATCAATATATAACCTGAATGGTGGTGGTTGTGGTTATGTGCCGTGGAGTTGGTTCCAACTTATAGCAACCCTGTACTGGGTTTCCTAGGCTGTAATTCTTTACAGAGCACAAAGTCTCATCTTTCTCCCACAGAACATCTGGTAGTTTCAAACTGCTGACCTTGTGGTTCCCAGCCCGATTCATAACCACTATGCTACCAGAGCTCCTTAGCCTGAATAGGTAAAGAAAACAATGTTAAGATGCTTGACTGTTTTGTGGATATTGAGTTCCCCTGTCTACTAGTGTTATATAGATATTTAAGTAGGATGGAAAGGAATATTGGGAAAGATGATTACAGAAAGTTTGTAAACCCATCTTAAGTCCATAAATTATTGGATTATCTAAAAGGGTACTAGAATGTGCCCAGGGAAATAGGCTTCTTGTTAAGCTTTTGTGGAGTATGGGGCCTTAGGTGGGACCCTGAGCCCCAACCAGAAACTTCCCAGTTGAAGACAGGCAGACCAACCTGGAACTGCTAGAGAAACAGAAGATAATTCTTGAAAGAACGACCAATGGGGTGAGGGGTGGGGTGGAGAAGCAGACTATTTGGCTGTGACAATATCAAGAAAGCCATTTGCCTTGGAGCCATCAAGGTCAGAAAAGTCAGCCCATCAGGGTAAACCTTTTTCTAAGACTGAAACTCAAAGGGAGCATGCTCGCTGGCAGCTTCCCTACTCAACTGTGAGTGGAAGTGTGGGAATTGCAGCAAAAGACGACGTGGGCTGAGATTGGCCATGTTCTATAGACACCCAATGACCTTGAGATGAGAGAGAGAAGAGGATGGGCAGGCTGGTTTGAAGTTCAGGGAGACATGTGAACCCCCGAGTTC